AATCCCGATTTTATTATCAAATCTCGATTGTCGTATTTACCTGATTTAAAAGTTGAACGTTGCGATTCTTATTCAGGCGATTTAAATATTGTACATTGCGATTCTTACTTACGAGATGTAAAAAATTAATATCGCGATTTGTATTTGCGAGCTTTTAAAGCCCTATGTAGCAATTCGTATTCACGCGTGCTGAAAATCCAATATCGTGATTTGTTTTTGTGGTTGTAATATCGCGCGATTTAAAAATTATGCATCGTGATCAAAAAATTAAAAAATCATTATTTGTATTTTCTCATTTTTTTTAAATGCGATAATTATTTACGTGATTTAAAAGTCTCATATCGGGATTTATATTCACATGGTTTACAAGTTTAAAAATTGTGCTTTTTTTGTCACATTTTTGTTTATATATATATATATATATTTACACACAGTACACTCTCGATTATCCAGGCTCATTCCGGAGTCACACAGAAAATATAAAGGGAAACATTTTCAAGATTAAAAAAATTTGATTCATGAAGTTATAACACTACCAAATTTTTGGAAGCAATATTTGTTATTGGATTGAAGTATATGGAATATCAGCAGCATGGTCAAAGGTACAATTGTCTACGTTATCTATCACGATCTTGGAGAAAGATCATACAGCTTGATGAACAATCCTCTTCAGATGTTCAAGAAAAATATGATAACAGTATTCTCGAACAAGCAAAAGAAATCTAAGGTTTCGAAATTCGTGATGAAGAAAATTTAGAAGATAGGTTTCAAAGTGATGCATGTGAGCCTGGCTTCCAGTATTTGACTGATGAAGACATCGTTATGTTGTTAAATCAAATAGTGATGATAGTAACTGATGCAGAAGATGTAGTAAATTAATGAAATACTATTTCTCATTCTGCTGCTCTGTGGAAACTTTATTAGATTATATGGGAGGATTTGATTACGGTGACATTATTGTGGTTCGTAAAATATGTGTATCGATATATGGCGAAGACGCATTACACATTTTTTAAAAAGGAAAATTCCTAGTTTGATGTTATGCATGCAAATGTCAGTAATTTTTATATTTTTTGTACTGATATTGGATTTCTCTTTAATGAAAGGAGTTTTCGGAATATCCGTGTTTTTCGATTGTCCGTGCGACCTGTCCCGGTGATTAACCCGGATAATCGGGAGTACACTGTATATGTATATATATATATATTTTTTGGATTTCCTCTCTTTTACTTTCTGACTACTCTCATCCCTGAAACATTACTACTAACAGCCCTGATTATTTACAGAGTACTGAAAGACCAATGAGTAACTGCTATTTGTTGCTTCACCTTTTTTAGAGAATAAGGAAATTTACCTTGGTGTCAAACTAATTTGGTTGAGGGTAGTTAAACTATTATGTGTAATATATGCTAATCAAGTTATTTTTATAAATTGTATTAATTTCATGGAAATGAAGCTAATATTCTTAGACTTCAATTTTCAAAAATTTTCACAACTTTGCAGTGGAGATCATATTCATACATTAATTTTTAAAAATTCTAGTTAGAAAATAAAGAAAAATTAAGTGTAAAAATCTTTTTTCAGTAATTGTTGTGATCTTCTTTTCTCTTTTAAATGTATTTTTAAAGCTGATGCTCATTTTGCTAATGTCATTAAATAACTAATTTGAACTGACTCTGATAAGATAGTGTAAATTTTTTTGCATGTTTGTCAACGTCACTTCTGATAAAAAAATACTAAAATTTAAATTGTAAATTCATACCTATGAAGGCTGGTAATTTGTTCATAAGAAACTGGAAAAATGGAGGAAACTAAAAATGATTGATAAAATCATTTAGCAATAAGTACTATAAGAGTAACATAATTTTAAACAAATTAAATTTAATTTAGTGCCAAAGAGTTAAAAGTTTGTTAACCATCTCTTTTGTGAAGGAACTATTTTCCTGATATTTAAGAATCAGTTTGAGTATTCATATCTATGATTCATATTTAACAGTATTTAATTATAAATGTTAGCGTGCTATTTATAATTGCTTATTCAATATGTGATTTGAAGTCGTGTGTATGTTATGTACCATAATTTTGCGGAGATATGCGAACGAAAATGCTTTTGTTTTGTTTTTGTGAATGACTGTAATGTTATAAAACTGGTAAGAACAAAGTTTATGCCTTAATGTTTTCGTTATGTCTTGTAAAATACATATATCTTGATATTATTTTTAGGTACCTTTCACAACAATGCTAGCCCTTCTGTGTATGTGGTTCGGAATCTCATTACCTCTGGTATTTATCGGCTATTACTTTGGAATCAGGAAAAAACCTTATGAACATCCTGTACGCACAAACCAAATTCCTCGTCAGGTACCAGAACAAGTGTGGTACATGAATCCTTTGTTATGGTAAATTTCTACTATTATAGACATATGTGCAGTTTATTTTTATAAAATTTTTGACTCAAGACTGTGGGGAAGGTTCTTCAAAAGTTCAGATTGTCTAGAAGCCAGGATCAATTTTCAGGCACCGACATGTTACGGAATAGAGAGTAACACAACAGCTTTTTGCTTTTATGAAATTACTTAAAGACAGCTATTGTTTCTTTAATTTAACAGTATCTAATAATAAAAAGTTTTCAGATATATGAATAAAAGACCTTGACTCAAACCTTCAATGCAAGGTAAGAAATATAACAATTAAACAAGTTATGTTAAGAGAGATCTCCTCCCCCACCCCACCCCTAAAAAAATCAGATTTTTAAATTTGAAACTAAACTCAGATTTAATTTTTCTTAAATATTGGACACTGTTTACAGTTTTTTTAGGCCACCTGAAAACGTGGACCTTTGACTGTGGGTATGAGTTGAAGAATTTTTATTTTACTAAAATTCCTAGTTAAAAAATTATTTGAACCTTTTTTATGGGGAGGGGGGAGTATTAAGTTATCCTGCTAGTAAACATGGAATTTTGCACTTCTAAGTTATTAAATTAACTTTACTAATTAAATCTCCATGTCCACTTTTGTTCTGAAAATCTGTTATTTTTTAAATTTATTTACATCATAATATTTCTTTTTTAGCACCCTTATGTCTGGAATTTTGCCATTTGGTGCTATGTTTATTGAGTTATTTTTCATATTTACTGTAAGTAACTTTATTTATTATTTTTTAAATATATATTCAAAATATTTTATAGAAATACTAAACAATGTGCATTACATTTCAGGCTATATGGGAAAATCAATTCTATTATCTGTTTGGATTCCTTTTTCTAGTCTTTATTATTCTTGTCATATCTTGTTCACAGATATCCATTGTAATGGTATATTTTCAATTATGTGGTGAGGTAAGATCTTTGATTTGTATAAAATTGAATATTTAAATTGTTGCTTTTTTTAGTTTTAGAAACTTAAAATTTTTTATGCAATTAAATTTTGAAGAAAAATAAAGTATAGGGGAGAGTCGGGTACTCCTGGCCACAGTCAATTTCATATGTATAGAATA